TGAATAATCGCATTTCATCTTTAGATTCAACTTTTAAAATATGCATTGATAACCATAAGAAACTTATGGACAAGTGTGCTAAATCTAGTGCTACAAAATCACCTACATACTATGCACACTTGTATAGCAAAGTTTACAAGTGCTCCATTTGTGGTCGTAAAGGTCATTTAGCTAAATTTTGCTATGATGCACAAAAACATAAGAATATTAATTCTTCTTGTGCATCTCATAAGGCTTCTTCTTCATCACATGTACACACACATGCACCCATTGTTCATCATAAGCATGCTAATGTGTATCATTGTGATTTTTGTGGTAGAGTTGGTCACTTAGCTAAGTTTTGTTTTGATTTGCGAAAAGTTTCTAAATCGCAAAATATTTCAAGTAGACCAACATTATTTCAAAATGTTTCTCATTTGCAAAATAATCTTAAAAGACCATCTTTATTTGCAAATGTTCCTCGTGCACATCCACATGGTCAACATAACCAAATGCATCCTCTTCATTTCACTTATTGCAATCGAATGGGTCATTTGCATAATTATTGCTATGACCGGACCCGTGCACTAAATGCGCCCAAATGGGTTCATAACCCAAGGTTTTTCTTTTATCAAATCTTTTGTTTTCATAATTATTAGTCTTGATTTTGATGAGAGGTTTGTGTTTATATAACCCTCCGGGTTTATTGGGTGTTTATTCCCAAATCAAGTTTACCGGATGCTAAAATGATTATATGGGTTGGAACAAGCTCAAGAGCTTGATATAATTGTTGCCTCTCTTAAAAATTGTGTTTTGATTTGTTGCTTTTGAATTCATTATAATTCAGTTATATGATGATATTTATGTGTTTGTGCTAATGGATCATCTATTCGTGCTTTATAATGTATTCTATGAGTGGTTTGATCAAGTTATACAAAGAAAATTTTTCTTTATTGATCAAACATTGGTTTTGGACTCAAATCTTGATTTATGATTTCATTTGGTTGATTTTCATTTGAAAATATCTTGCATGATTCTCACTCTTCTTTTGATTTCATAAATCTATTTTATACATCGGTTTTTATGTTCTCATTATCGTTTTGTATGTGAGTTGTTTTTTAGCACCTATACTTGCTTATATATGTATGCCTTAGCATTCATTGCATATATTTCATATGGCTTTTTGATAGGGGNTTGTATGTGAGTTGTGTTTAGCATGTTTCTTGCTTGGCTCACATGTTTGCCATGATCTTTTATTGCTTATATTTCATATGGCTTTTTGATAGGGGGAGCTATTCCCTATATTTTCTTTGTACTCACTCATGCTTATTGATAGGGGGAGCTTTCGCTCTCTTATTCTTTTTGTCCCCTTTTTGATGTTGTCAAAGGGGGAGAAATATTGCGAGTATATTCTTTCTTGTTTTTATGCATGTGAATTATAAATTATATATTCATTTTTTTCATGCATATATTTCTTTTTGTAAATTGTTTGTCATCATCAAAAAGGGGGAGATTGTTGGCCTTCTTGTTTTGATGATGTTTAACAAACAATTTATTACTAATGTTGTTTGTCTAGTGTTTGTGCATTCCTATGTTTTGTAGACAAACAACGTTGTTGGAGGATGGATGGAATAGAGCTTCAACGATCATATCCAAAGGAGGTTGGCGGAATGTCGGTGAAGCTTATGCAATTCTAGTTCATGATCCAAGTTCAAGCTTCATCCGCAAAGTGTACCAAGTCAAGCTTATTGAAGATCAAGATCGGCTTGGGTAATCTAGTTTAGGTTTTATATTATGTGTGTTAAGTACCTTAAGCTCAATACTTGGGTAATTTAGTTTAGGGTTTATATTATGTGTGTTTAATACGTTAAGCTAAATATCATATACACACACGTATTTGGTTTCTATGTATATATATAGTTATATATATACATGTATGGTTTTGGGTTTTTATGTTTTGGACATACTTGCAAAATACATGAGTTTTCACAAATGAAAATTCAATTTGAGAAATTCTTTTTCTAACATGTTTGCTTTCATGTTTATAAACATTTCGCAAAGTTTCATCAAGTTTGGAATAGATTTGTTATGTTTAATGGAATTTACAAAATCATGTTTTCATTCGAAATTCTTTCTTTGACATGTTTATTTACATGTTTAGAAACTTTCCTTAAAATTTTACTATTTTTGGAGTTGATTTACTATGCCTAATTGATTTTACAAAATCGTGTATCACAGCAGATTTTTAGAAACTGTATTTCTATGTTCAGACATTTATTTCTCTCAACTGGGAAATGATTTTTCAGAAATTCTTTCTCTAACATGTTTTTATACATGTCTAGAACCTTCCCTCAAAATTTCATATTTTTAACCAATTTTATAAAATCGGATATACCTGCTACAGTACCGCCGGTCGACTGAAATTTTCCGCCGGTCGACCGACGAACTCTCTGGATGTCTCCTGAGTTTCTGACCTTGTTCGCGGTCGACCGCGATTTTCATCGGTCGACCGCTGGAGTCCCAACGACTCTTTTTAGAGCCGTTGCAGATGGTTTTTTGGTCTTTTTGTAAGGGGTTTTGGTATGAGGTTTTGGAGGCTATAAAAACCCTCTTTGATCTCAGTTTTCAGTTAGCTAAGAAGTTTTTAACAAGGGTTTTAAAAAGGGTTTAAGCTTGTTTTAAGCTTGTTTAAGAGTTTGGTTTAAAGCATTTTTAGCTTTTATAAGTGGAGGAGATTATCTTCTTGTTTGAGCCTCAAATCTCCATCTCTCCATCTTGTTATTCAGAGAAGA